CTGAGCCCAGGAGGCCCTTCATGGCCGGAGCAGCCCTGCCCCAGCTCTGAGTTACCCGCGCCCCCCCGAGCCGTGACCTCCCCCTATGCCCCCACCGGGGCCGCCCTGCCCCTGAGCCCCGGAGCAGCAGCCCTTTTCCTGGAGGTGGTGGCGCAGGTGTGGGACCGGAAAGATGTTCTCAGCCCTGAAGAAGCTGGTGGGCTCGGACCAGACTCCGGTCAGAGACAAGAATATCCCCGCGGGGCTGCAGTCCATGAACCAGGCTCTGCAGAGGAGGTTTGCCAAGGGAGTCCAGTATAACAGTGAGTCGGAGCCAGCTTCGGGGGTTTTGTCGGGGGGCACAGCCAGCCCTGGGCAGGAGGCAGGCTGCATCAGTCCATCCCATCTGATGCGCCATAGCGTGCCCAGGGACCCCGGTGGGACTGTGAAATGCATACGCGTTTGTTGTGCATGGTGGTGCTTTTGCCGGTATTCTTCCAAAGCCAAGTTTTCAATTAAATCTTAGAGCTTGCGGAAGCGTGGGAGGAGTAAGGGATGGGAAACTTTTATCTTTCTGTGCGGGACTTGGGGAACCTGTAGTGCACCAGTGTCCCCAGTCAGCAGATGTCCTGAACGGCTGCCTGCTTTCCGCTGACTGTGGCACAAGAGAGAGTTCCTTGTAAATCAGTTTTTGTCAGTTAAAGCATCAAGAGGGTAACTCCCCTGAGTGTGTGGGTGACTTTTGCTGCGGCCCAGGATAATGGTATTTATAATTAAGCTCTAGTGGTTATATGATAAAGGCCTATTGAAAAGCTCTGCCCTGCCAGGCTTTAATAAAAGGTGAGTGATGTATGCCTTTATGTGCCCTTGGTACACAATTCCATTCTGACTATCTTTCCTGCAACTGATATGGTCGCTCTTTTCTCAAGGAAGGTTTTCAGAATTTTTTTTCCTTTCAGTGTTGAGGCTTAGGGTTGCATTTTTCCCTTGAAGCTCACTAAAGGTTATTTCTAATACAGTGTTTCAGGAGGGCACTGCAAGTATGTGAAATACATCCCAAAGTAACAATTGTGAGATGGGGACGGTAGTTATGTCATCCTTGCTGAAAATAGATGGTACCAGAGAGCGCTGCGAGTATCAGCTCGTCTGTGTGGATCCAGGCAGGCAGTGAAGTCAGATTGCGTAAGGTCAAGAGATTGGCAGTTGGGAAAGAGACTGATTTGTAAATGTGGCACTGAATAATTTCTGTAAAGTCACACATGTTGGAGGAATAGAGCTTAAGTTGGATCTTAATCCGAAACAGAATGTGAAGGGAGAGGTTAGCACTTTGGGGTTTGGGGCTTTTTTTGCTTTGTTTAGTGTCGTCACTATTGACTGTGCTTTTGAACTGGTATGTTTTGAAGCTCTCTGCTTTACTAAGGAGAGCATTTGATGCCTTTATCCATAGCACATCTGTTAGATATGCCAGTAGTGCTTAATGTTAGAAAATTAGTGTCTTGGTCATGAATGTGAACAGAAACACAGTGTTGTTGTTAAGAGACTTGATTTCCAGTGAAAGGCAAAGTGAGGATGAAACTACTGTGCCTTGGAATACAGCACTGCGTCATTAAACACGTACCTGGAGATCTGCTAGTTAAAGGCTATTCCTCTGTGCAGAGGCTTCATGCAGTCCACAGACCAGAACATATCCACGTGCTTCACTGGTACATGTTTGAGATCAGGTAGCTAATACCAGTTGCTGAATTATGTAAGAGAAAGGAGTTGACTTTTCAGAGAGTGAACGTTTGCGCTGCAGACAATACTGATCAGCTGCATCCTGCTAGCACAGCGGTCGACGGGGCAGCTCTTTGTTAAGTGTTCACTAACTGCATTGTTGATGAACCTGCGTGGATGTGTACCTGCTTGCCATTGATGCAGCAAGGCCAAAAATGCCAGCAGCTGAGCTACCAGCTGTAGCTTTGCTGCTGTTTGTCTCATTACTGAAAGCCTTGGGAAGCCTTTTTGGTTTTTGCCCTGTTTTATCAGGATTTGTGTTCTAGTTACTGTTTTCCTATCTGGAATATAACTGCAGCTTTCTGTTACCGCCTTAAGGGAAGCTTTCCAATCTCCATAGCAACTCTTCCCAGGATTGCTGTTATATAATATTTATAGGAGATACAGGCAGGCTTATGAAAAGGCTTTGAAGTACACTACATAGCCATGGCACTGGATAGATGGAGTAGATTCCAGCACGGTGAGGTTATGGTCTCAGCTGAAGGTGGGCTGTGAAGGAATGTTATTACAAGGGCCATTGCTCAGGAAGGGCAGAGCTGCAAATCTATGACATTCAGCAGAGAAATGCAAAATGTGTTTTGTAGCCACCATTAACACACACGGACCTTTAAAACTCCTCTGTTCCCCTGGAGTTGCCTGGACCTAAACCAAAGGGTGCTGCGATGACTGGTCCTACAGAAATGTTTCCTTGCTTTCATAGACCCCAGAAATATATTTAGTGTGCTGAGAATGTCTTGAGTTGCTTGCTGATAAAGTGGGCAGCAAATGGCTGGGACACAGGCCTTATCACCTGGCTCTTGGTGCCTCGCTGCAGGCTATGCTGTAGCAGTCTTCAGGGCTGTCAAATGTCAAAGTACATTTTGTAAACAGACAGCCCCCCAGTTTGAGGTGATACTGAAGATTGTCTGGTGTTTTAATGGCACTGAAGATTACAAGCATTGGATAGTATGCACCTCTAAGTTGAACCGAAATTACTTGTTTGTATGGTCTCTCTCCCACTCAGTTAAATTTTCAAAAGGAAGAGTGTTGCAGGGTGGGTAGGTTTAGATTTCTAATGAAATGATGAGAGCAAAGGCCAGTATTAGCCCTTGGCAGCAGTCACTTCCTCTGCATGGGACATCCTATTTCAAAACAAAAGCATTTTCATGCTGCATTCCCAGCACGCACACTCCTTATTTGCTCTCTTTATCATCTGCATGGAGCTCCCTGTGTTTTACATACCGTGGTCCAAATAACACCAGAGTTCCCTGACCACTATGGAAGGTACAGAGATGAAAATCATGTAGGTCCGTACCATGTATGTAATGGCTTAGATGTTTATGGGAGATCACGGTTCCAAGTATGGGAGACCAATTGTTGTAAAAACTTGCTCTTTTTTTCCTGCTTGGGATAGCCTGAACTTGGATCAGCTCTGCTGCATCACCATTTGGATAGCTGTGCTGGCCCAGGGAGGGTAGCACGGCCCAGAGCGAGTAGGCTCAGTGAAGCGAGAGCAAGGTGGATCTCATTACTTTGGTAGCAGTGCTTGTTTGAACAAATTATGAGACAAATTACAGAAGGAAGTACTGGCACCAGGTTACTTGAACATGAAAGTTATGTAAGGCAATGATGGGCAAACAAGGGTGAAATGAACAATTCTGGTTGGGTTACACTGGCAAGAGGATTCCCTGGGAGTTATCCATTGATGATTAGTGACAGGAGCAAAAGGCATGGAAGTGCTAAAGGTTCAGATCCATCCGTCCTGTTGCCCAGAACACAGTAGACCTTCTGCTCTGGGCTTTACACTTAACACTGCATCCGGTGTGCACACCACCCGAAAAAGCCCACTGCTGTGTGTGCCTGGAGCGTGGGCTGCTCTCTTCCTGGTGAGCTGCAGGCCTTCCCTGAACAGTGCCCAGTGCTGAAATACCAAAGTCAGTAGCTCAAGAATTCCCCCCAGTCCCTCCACTTACTACTTCTCTGCCTAAAATTTGCTTTAAAAGAAAAAAAGATCTTAATTAATACCATGTATCCTTTTGGTAATCATTATAGTCCTTATGTCTTTTGTGTTGTTTTAGAGAAGTGGTTCCCAGACTCTGATTGCAGTTTTAAGTATTTTCATTCAGCACTACTCCGAAAAGAAAGGCTTCCCATCTTCCTGCTGCTTCCCACCTTCTCATGTTTTCTGCTACTGCTGACGCAGGTGTTTGTGCAACTTGTGGCAAACCTGCTTTGACTGCTGTCTGGCCTGTTCCCCTTGGGAAGCATGCTTGGGGGTGTCTGCAGATCAGGTGTACTTCTTTTGGCAGCAGAACCAGCTTAAAGCATTTGAATTGCAGCCTTGTAGTCACAGTCCCAAAGACCTTAATGAGGGCAAGGTTATGACCCTCCCTATGGGGATTATTAGCAGAGAAGTTCGGGGATCTTTGCTGCAGGGTCTGAGATCCTTAGTTGCTGCAGTGTCCTGGAGGAATATGAGCAGAGCTGGGAGTTCCTGATTTCTAGTTCTCAGCTGGTCTAAGACCTCCTCTCTGGGCCTGTATCTTCACTGCTCTGCTTCAATTTCCCCATATGGAGAATGGAAGTCCCTCTATTTTTTCCTGATGCGGTGACAATATGAATAAAGTGATTTGTTTAGCTTTTTCCTCACATCTTGATCTATTTCCCATCCCTACTCTTTTTCCCACAGATAATTCTCCTGTCTTTGCTACAAACCTATGGATGTTTGCAGTAAATACTGATTTAACTTAAAATCAAAATAAGGCAGCAATTGTTACTGTCTCATAGGTAACAGTACTAACCTCACCTGTAATTACTGATCCTCTTTCCACATTCAGACACAGCCCAAGCCTGTGATATACCTGTCTGGCTGTGCCCTGAAGCTCACTCAGCTCTTCCTGTCTTGCAGATGCCTGTCACTGAGTACACCTGCCCTAGCCAAAGTCCCAAATACAGGTTTTGTTTTGCTTAAAATGATTTACATCACCTGCCTTCTTTCTATTCTGTTTTTAAAGACTTTTTCTTTCTTCAGGAAGAAAGTCAGTGAAACCTCATGCACTATGTAGGAGAAAAGAGATCCTAACATGGAGAGTGCTGAAGCTGGAAAGGGCCGTTGGACCTGTTCAAACTGAGCAAGTGGTGCCACAAGCACCCTACGTTGATCTAAATGTGAGCTGCTCAGGGGTGGGGGTGATCTCCTTGCCCCTCCAGCTGTGCCTCCTGTGTGCTGCTCCTACTGGTCATGCAGCTGGGCACTTGAGCTAGGGAAGAAAACTGAAAAGGAATAATTTCAGGGTTAGTTTCCAGCCAGTTCAGTTCCTTGCATGTGTAGCTGCATAAATAATGCTTTTGGCACTAGCGAAGTCCCAGGGGAGGTAAGATTGCCCCTTCTGGGGAGAGCTCATAGTCAAGTCACCTGGGAATGATCCTCAAAGTGCACCTTGAGAGCAGCCTGACTATTTAATGAAGGGTCTATTTGTCCCTTAAAACTCACTGTTAAGGTATCTCATGCTGAACTTCGTAAGGGAATATGAATTTTAAAATGGCTCTCTAAGGTAGGCAGTAAGAGCATTTAGAAAGGCATGGATTTTAGAGGGGACAAACAACATCTCATTCTGCCTGTGCCATGGACTTGCTGCATTAATTAAGAAAAATCAAAGGAATCCTCCATTGATTGTTTCACCATCTGTAAGTAGGAAAAAAATGACACACAGGGCAACAGGAAATGCAGGAAATGGTTTGCTGTCTCTGCAGAGATGCTCTGGGACCTGTGAGTGAAGTCAGCCTATAAATACTATGTTCATTTTTGCCTTTATTATCCTTTTGCTATTTTAATAAGTAACTTTGTAAAAGAATAAACAGCAGTACCTATCAGTGTACAACAACAAAAGCACAGTGAAACTGCAGCACAGAATTTCACCAGACAAAAGTCTTCCACAGACTTTATGTATGTTGTCTGTTTTGCCTTAAAGTTATCTCAAACTTTTGTCTGAAATGTCTGCAATACTCTTGAGTTACAACAGAAGGCAGTCTTCAGTCTGAGATTTCCTTGCCCAAATGATGATGCACAACCTAATGCTAATCACCTGAATCTGCCATTAGATGTCTCTGAGAGGCCTGTTTTCTAGGGGATAATAGCTCCTGTTTCTATTCAAGTCAGCTTATGTTTCCCAATAGCCTTGTGGTTGCCACTTAAAACAAGGATGGTATTTAAAAATATAATCACATAATGTAACAGAAAATTTAGAAAATACCACATACTGTTTTCAGAAAGAAAAAAGGGTAACATTAGGGTAGACTCTGGAAAGTTCATGATATTAATTACTACAGAAGATACTTTGCCAGGTTGTGTGTAGTTTATGATATTTTGGACACTCGTTGGGAGGGTTTGAGTGAGTTTCTCCATTGACTGACTTTCTTTACTGCTGATACAAGCATATGTGCGCAACAAGCACAGGCACATCGTGGTAGATAGCTGAGTGGCCTCAGCAGCTGGGTGTGAGTCCAGTCAGTGGAAGTGGAGCTGTTGTGCCCTTACCCGAGACTGCAGTTTCTGAGAATGCCTTTGCTGAGTGCCATCAGCACACCTGCACCTAAAACCAGCTAAGGGCTGGCTCCTGTGGTAGAGACTGTCCCTCTGACACACGTAGGACACACAGAGATTCAGTTTCTCTTGGTTTTATTTCACTGTTATTTAAGTGTGTTTATGTCCCCAAAGGGGCATGCTTGTTTTGGCTCAGTTTAGCTTGTTTCTAATGCATGTAAGATAGACCGATTTTGATTTAATTTGAATCAAACTGTGGCCATCAACAGAGGCAATTTGGTGAATTTATCAGGGGCAGTTTAAGATAGAACCCTATGAACGTAAACTGCCTTGTCCCTGCCAAGGATTGCCTCCTCACCTGAGACCATCTGGGCTGTGAGCTGGAGCAGCTGAAGAGCAATACAGAGTCTTGTTCTGCTTCCCCCAGAAAAGGGGATGCTGCTCCAGTGCCAGAAAGTTGAGGATAGCTGAGGGCAATGACAGCTGAACTCTGTGGTGATGTTTGCCAGAAGCTGCCTCTCAGCTCTCCCAGCACCATCCTAGAAGAATGGTTTCACCAGTGCTAAGGTTCAGAGTCACACCCCTGTGGGATATAGGGAGCAGCATCTCTGAATGCAGGACCCTGCCTAATTGGCTCAGCTGAGAACTGGTCCTTGAGCTTTCAGTGGGCAACTGGGTCTAGGAGGTGAGTAGGAGGCTGAGGGGAGACCTTATCGCGCCCTACAACTACCTGAAAGGAGGTTGTAGTAAGGTGGGGGTTGGTCTCTTCTCCCAGGTAACAAGCGATAGGACAAGAGGAAATGGCCTCTAGACACGCCAGGGGAGTTTTATATTGGATATTAGGAGAAATTTCTTCCCTGAAAGGGTTATCAAGCATTGGAACAGGCTGCCCAGGGAAGTGGTTGAGTCCCCATCCCTGGAGGTATTTAAAAGATGTGTAGATGTGGTGTTTAGGGACATGGTTTAGTGGTGGACTTGGCAGCGCTAGGTTAATGGTTGGACTTGATGATTTTAAAGGTCTTCCAAGCTAAATGATTCTAGGATTCTATGATTCTATTTTCTCAAGGAATGAAGTATTTTAAGGAGAAATAGGAATTATATAGGAGGTAATTGAAGGAGAAGCCTGGCATAAAAGGCTAGCAAAGGAATGGGGTATGGCAGAGTGGGAGTAAGGTCTAGGTAGGGGTAGAGAAGGCAGGAGGATGGAAGGAGCAGAGACTTAGCTGGCTGAAGTTGTGCAGATTCTGAAGATTCAATCTTGATGTTGGTTCTTTCTGCTGAGCTAGTGTGAGTAGCTGAATAAACACTAATTTTAATGACTGAGGCTCATGTTTTTTAACAAACCCCATCATGCCTGTGTAATATGGGAGAACTAATTACATCTGAATAATGCTTGTAAAAAGTTAGCATGCTTTTCACAGCATTCTTGGATTTGTTTTTAATCAACTTTATTTGTCTGCTTGCTCTTTTCCCCAGTGAAAATTGTCATCCGAGGGGACAGGAACACTGGGAAAACCACACTCTGGCACCGACTGCAGGGAAAGAAATTTATTGAGGAATATATTCCAACTCAGGAGATCCAAGTCACCAGCATCCACTGGAATTATAAAAGTAAGATGGAAGAGGGTGGAGGGAGTGACAGTCATGAGACAGTGCCTTGGGGGCAGAAATTCCACTGCAGCCTCATTTGGTTCTTTCTTCTGTGTCCGCCTGGGAGATAAAATGGTCTCTCATCACACTTGTTATTTTAATTTATTATTCACAGTTTCTCAGTCATGTTTTTAATAACTTCACTCAGAAACTATGTGTTACAAGTGCTAAAGGGTAGGTCTTTGGAAGCTGCCATTCAAGGAAAGTGTTTAATAGGTGATCCAAAAGATTTGAAACATTTGTGATATGCTTGACTTCCTAATGAAAACAGGTTTCTTATGGAAATCCGTCTCTGAGGCTAACCCTGCTTTTAGTGTTACTGTGTTGCGCAGAAGTGAATAGCATGGTGCAAACTAGTTTTTTACCAATTAAAATATAAAGAGCATCCTGTAACTGGTGACAGTGATGTTTTAAAAATGCTTGTAGTACTAATAACTCTAGACTGACTTACTGAAGCACAGAAGTATCTTATCAGTAGCTTTTTTAAGTGTTTGTTTGAGTCTGAGAGGTGAGGTGTGAATTTTTTTTTATTTTCCCCATCTGCTCTGACAGTATAAAGTAGGTATGAAAGCCCTGATCTCTCCTGGAGAAGACACTGCAGGCATTGAAATTGCATAAGGCTGTGATTCAACAGTGCATTAAGTCTGGCTTTCAGGTTCCTGTTCAAAAATGCCACAGCCTTGTGGGGTGAACTACTGATTCAATACGAACTTGCTCTGTAAGACTGATTTTGCTTTTTTAAAAAAAAAAAGTCAGCAGTTAGTTTGTCATTATCAGACATTGTCCATCTGCACCACTCTGACCTTTTGTTGAATCAGGTACTCTGTCTCCTCACGGCTGGAAAAAAAACCTATGTGGTTTGGGTAAACACCAAATTGGGTTGTTTGTCTAATTCACCAATCAAATTTATATTGCTGGATGATGCCATGATGCCCAAGTCTCGTGCTAATGATCACGGGGCCACAGGGCGTGCATGCCAGCAGTCAGCCTTGGGACAGTGCTCTCTCAATCTCTGTTGCTTTCATAGGGTTCAGCACAAGGAGAGTGAGCAGATGCTGCTGTTGTACCTTCACAGGGAGCTGGTAAGCAGAGTTCTGGAGATTCTTGTGTCCTTATGAAGACAGGCTTCCACATGAGTCAGTGCTCTCTTGATGAAGGTTGAAAGGTTTATTAGGATGGATGGTTGTGATTTGCCTTGGATGTGGGAGAGAAACAGGTCATCCTTGCTCAGTGCAACTAGGGGTTTTCTCTCATTCAGGATCTGATGTTGAGCTGAGCTGAGCCTGATGTCACAGGTTTTCACATTCTTTCATGGGGACTCTCGAGGTGACCATGATGCAAAGGTGTGCCTGTTAGGTTCTAAGCCTCTTCATAACGTACCTTTATTTTGGGTACCATCTTCCTGATGTTCTGCCTATCAACTGGCACAAGGCACTGACAGATCTGCGGTGTTCATGCAGTGGTGTTCCCCATCTGGAGTGAAACCTCTGGCATGTTGTATTTTAGTTGTGGCATCCTTCCCCCACACTCCTCTTCCTCTCTGTCAGAATATCAGCACATCAGTTATTGAGGTGTGAACAGAGCTTACAGGTTGTTTGGATGATGGCAACTATCTCCAAAATCAAACTTGAATGCTTCAGCCTAAACAGACTTAGATCAGAGTAAGAAATGAAATACCTCTTTCTTAGATATCCAAGTCTAAAGAGTGTGCTGAACGTTAATTGTGGTTTTCTGCAATATCATGGGTAAAAACTTCGGAGTTCAGTTTCCTCTCTAATCATCATAGTTAATACAAGTGCTGTTTGTAAATGCAGCCTGGGAGTCTGCCATTTGATTTCTAAGAGGCTTATTCATACCTAATTGTTTTTGTGTACATGAACAGATATACAAAATGCATGTAGACAGGTTCTAGTATACATGCAAAAATGTGTTTGGAGACTGTTCCATGTGTAGAAAGATCCAGTCATCTCACTTGCTTCTGTATATTTGAGGGACTCTATGTTCTTTTACTGAGCTGAAGCTTAGGCACTGGCTTTTTCAACATGGATGCAATCCTGGGGTAGAAAACAGCTACATATGAGGCTGGCTTTTGCTGTATGTTGGTAACCACAGGTGTATTTGTTATTTCTGGTGCTTGTATCATATGTGATATGTTTCTGTAGAGCTTGCTGGTTAGAGTTGACAGCAATGTGTACATATGATGATGCACTTTTCTCAAGCTGAAATGTTGCTGAGCTAGTCTAAATATCTGGAAGGCTATACATGAAATTGTGCCTTTCATTTGTGTTTCTTTTACATTGTAAAAAAATGTAAAAAATGAAAAAAACCCCACCCTATTATTTTCTTAGTAATAATTTCCAGCAGTATAGGAAATTCTCCATTGACCTTCTTAAAACCTGTTTTAAAAAATAACCTCCTTTTTTTAAAACAATATAAGGTATGTTTCCTGCTGTGAAAACTTTCCATCTAAGATGGGTGATGTGGGCACTCTGATAAATTGGCTCAGATCTAATTACCGCCCTGTTGGCTGAGTTAATCTGTAGAGGAAAAATAAAGTTTGTTTTTCCTGTGATCATGGTCTCAAACTACCTTGAATAAACATTATGAGGTAGCTGGCAGCAAATATTTACAGATATTAATTAAATTGCTGTCAAATGTTGAAGGATTCTTACATTGCCTAGTATTAGAAGGTTTACAGTTTAGATGTGGAACAAACCACCTTGTTGTATCTTCAGAAATTTTTTACTGGAGGAATTAATAAAGGTAGAGGAATTTGAGTTATTTCTTCCTACTCAGAATGAACAAAATTACTTTCCTGTGCCAATTGTCTCTCTAACGGATATTTGTAATTTTTGTGTCCAAGTAAGGAGTTACCATTCCTGACCCTAACGTACGCTTTTTTAGATTATACTAGTCACCAATTTTATTCTGTGTTTGGCAGTCTCAGAAAGGGAGTCTGAAATAAAAATTGGCAAATACTTTTGTTCAGATACTTTGGATGGTTTATAGATGGGTGTGAGGGATGGCAGAGCTGCTCTGCTCTGTAGGATTTGTGATGCAGAGCATATGAAGTGAATCATGTAATTACATAAGAGTAAATATGTCTGAGAGCTTGTGAATTCCTGGTGATGAACCCACCCATAAAGCAATGATGCTTATTTTTAAATGAGCTTTCTTGCAATTGGAGTCTTCTCACACCTCTCCACCACTTTTTGGGAAAGCAATGTCTTAGTGTGCCACTGGCTACAGAGTACTTAGCCAAACAGCAGCTGAGTAGAGATTTTTTGAGTGGTTTGATCCACGGTGTATGCTAATCCAAGTTACAGAGCTAAAAGAATGAATTTGCACTCTTTTTGCTGCAACATGCCTTCCAAAGCCGTTAAGGTGAAATGCTACTGTGTATGAGTCATACCAAAGCCAACACAGCAGCACTAAAGTAATTATCTTCCTGTGTGTTCAGGATAATCAGGAATGGAGCTGGTGATGAACAGGAAGAACTTACTGGCTAGGAGCTAGCAGGAGCACTGGTGCTAACAGGAAAAAAAACCCGCGTGGAAAAATGGTTTTCTTGGATCTTGTGTCGTCAGTTTCTTTGTGAAATTCTGTGCTACCCCTCAGATAAAAGAGTGTAGAGCAGGTCTTTCTGGGTCAAACGGTTCAACTCCTCATCTATCTGGGAGTCCTGCTGCTCAGCAGGATGTTCAGGACTGCAGAAATTACTCAGCAGGAGAACAGATCTTAACTGAGGGTGCATCTGGTGTTAGGGTAAGGAGGTGGAGATCTCTGGAGCTCAGGAGCAAAGTCCCAGTGCTAGGTACCAGGTCACCTCCTAGGAGAGCACTGCACGTCACCCCAAGGGCTTACTTTTCTGAAATGGGGTTCCAGCTTCTCTGTGGAAACCCTTTCTTTAATGCTTATGTGCTGCTTCACATGGTGCTGCTGGAAAGAACAAGCAGCCTTCTGGACTCCACCTGTGCCCCTACAACGTTTGCCATCTGAGAAATGAAAACATATCCTGTCCTTTTGCAGAAAGTTTTGACTGTTGAAAGGTGCCAGGGTTGACTTTGCTGACTTTGCTCTCTGTTCCCTTGTCCTTCATGGACAGCAGCAACACTGCCAGTCCTGGCTGCAGGGTATGAATTTGGGGGCAGACCTCCACTAGCTGATCTGTGTCCCAGCACCTGCAGGGTCACAGCACACCGTGAACGGACCAGACTTGAGCAGCCTATGTCACAGGGAGAGCACCCTGCTGTACCAGTGCCTGGGTGTAAGTAGCTGGACGTACAGCTGCGTGCCAGGCAAGTGAGTAATGGGGAGTGGTTGGACTTTAGCTGTACCTGGCTTGATGGTCTGTAGAAATATTCAGGGGCAGAATTGATTTGGGGAGTGTAATGGTTTGAGCAGAGGTTTTAGGACTACAGACTACTGTACACCTGTTGTGTTTTCAGTCCCATCTGAGCCTGTGATACACTGGCTGGGCTGAGCCTGGGCAAGTCTCCTGTTTGTCCTGTGCCCCACTGCCCTGCTGGCAAAGTGAGAGATAAGTGAGAGTTGCTATGAGGAAAAACAGAGGCTGATTTTCCTTCTTGCATATATGTAAAAAAGGATCTTTCTCCAGAAGCAGGGGATCAAAGTTTTCCTTTATTCATAATTTGTCTTTACAATATTTTGAAACATTTAAGTTAAGCCAACAGTGAATTCTATAAAGGAAATGTTTCCTGGCTTGACAGTGATGCTTAGCTAAATTCTCATGCCATCCTATGATATTATTTTCTACTCTGAGACATTATCCTCCTATTCTATTGCTTTATGTTCAGAGCTGTTTCAAGTGCAAGCTTTTGCTTTGTAGCCTATAGTATTTCCAAAAAGCAACTGTTTCATAGAATAACTTAATGAAGACTGGACTGCTTATTTGGATTCAACAGAAACATCTAACCAAAGCTGTCCATCCTTTGTGCCATCTGAAAGTTAAGCTTGTAGCTGTAAGTAGCAGCAGTAGTGTCTCTGTAGTTAGAATTTTGGTTGTCTTGCTTCAGATTTTATCAACGCAAATATATGTTGCTGCTTATAATTTACCGATGCTGCAGCTCATTAAGAGGCAAAATTGCTAGTAATATCTTATTTTTCACAAAATGCAACTTGAAATTTGCAGAGAGAATGGATTTCTGTAGCCACAGGACTGTTTGCACTGTTTGTCATGTTTACATAAAGATGCTATTAGCAAGGTTGATCTTTCTTAAATAAGTATATTCCTTTTTTTCAGTTGTATGCCTTGCTCGTAGACCAGATTTTATTCTCCAAATTAAATGAATATGTTTTTTGAAAGAATATGGAAACCTCTGTATGTTATGAAAAGAATCTACACAAAGTATTTATAACATGCTTCAAATCTGACACCAGATCAAGGAAATCTAGCTATCACTTATGTGAGTAAGAGTCTTTAAGAAGTTTTTTAGATAGCACAGTTTTGGTGTACAACTTGGACCTTCAACAGCAGGCTGCCTTCTTGTTACATTTGGGTTTTCTTTTAACTCACTCAAGAGTTACTTTTCTTTTGACATTCATCTCCTACTTTGACAATGTTGGCTTTGGGTTAGGCTCTCTGTGGTGAGCGTTGAGTGTTGGGTTAGGCTCTCTGTGGTGAGCGTTGAGTGTTGGTCATTTTACTGAAACCCTCTTCTAACACTTTGTGTTCTTATTGTGCTTTTAGCCACTGACGATATTGTTAAAGTTGAAGTCTGGGATGTAGTTGACAAAGGTAAGATTTCTAACTTCCTTTTTAATGGAGATTCATTGTTCTTTCTCACTTTTAATTAAAAACATACATGGAATTCAGAAATACCTGCTTGCTTCTACTTTATATATATATACTTACTTTTTTCAAGTACATGGATGTTACTTCCTGAAAAAATATGGAAAGGAGAGTAGAATCTCCTATGCTAGAGCCCATTATTTGGAATCTGAACTTCCCATCAAACCCAATATTCAGAAGCAGTTGTTTCATGTGCTCCATGACAGATGAAGTAGCCTGCTACTTAGTGTATTCTGATTCTCTGAAATTTATAATAAACTTCATCTTCTCCCCTTTATAGTTTTATATATGTTTAGACAGCTACTGAGTTCTTTGTTCTGTTTATAAAAGTTCTTGCTGAGCTGTTTTTGTAAAGGAATGCTATTGTTAAATTGATAAAATGTTATCTGTGGTGAATAATGTATGCAGGAGGGAAGGATAAAAGAGAAGCTAATTACTTAAATTCACTTAGGACAGAAAATGCAATATATTTAATCTAAAATCTTTTCTAAATGTTTAGCCAAGGAAAGTATTGTGATGTATAAATACATTTTCCGTTAGTTTTCAATTTTTGTGAGAGTATAAAGTTCTATTTTATAAAAAATAAAAACAAACCCCCAAAACATATGTGAAGACACAATCTGGATGCAGTGCAAATCTGGATGCAGTGGAATCCGTTGCTAGAAGGGGTTGGGGTTCAGATGTAAATCTTAACAGCCCATTCCATTGCCCCAGATGCACATATTGTTTGTCTTTTAAGAGGTGTTTTGTACCAACCAGGCTCCTGGTTTAAGGTGCAACTGTAGTCAGGAAAGCAGCTTTATACGTGAGCATCTCTTGCTCTGTGGGTTGTCCTCCTTGGTTGTGTGTTTCTGTCAGTCAGATCTGTTGACCAGTCATTGAAACTTAAACTTTTATGGTTTGGCTGTTACTGCCTTTCTTGCAGCCTTAGCTAGAATTTGTGCTGGCACGCACTCCTCAGCAGAACTGCATCCGAGGTGCACTACCTCTGCTGTACTACCTGTGCAACTTACACATGCGTTAACACCGAAAAATAAAAAGTACAATAGAGGGTGGGAAAGGGAGAAATTTAATTTTTCATGTTAGTTAAATTGCATTTAAAATAGTAAAAAAGAAAAGGTAATTAAAGATAGCAGCCCTAGTTCAGATGCATAATGGAGCCTTTAGGTTAAATTTGAGCCAGTAACTTTAAATGAAAATCCTGAGCGCTTTATCTTTTTATTCTTTTAAACCCCACTTTTCACAGTGTAGACAAAACCTTACTTAGCTCAGAGTTACTGCTGAAGCCAATCTGATTACCGTTTGGCTTTTATATCCTGCGATAACATGTGCAGGGTTGGAATCTGAGCAAAACATCTGTTTTCTTGCTGCCTTGCAACTTTGGTATGAATAGATACACAGTTAATTTGGGAATCATGTGGTTCCAGCACTTATTTCTGTGAATAGCTTCTCTGAGCAGAGTCATCTTCTCAACTAGAGACTTGTTATTTTTTTGGCAAAATGGATCGGATTTGATATGTGCAGATGTTGATAACAGCTCTTCTGATACTGCTTTCATTTCTGACAGTGGAGCATGTGTTAGAAATCTCAAGGGACTCACTTCTTTCCACTTTATATTCTTTTGAAATGAAACTCATTCTGTTAAGATCCCTACTTATCGACCACAGATAGGTATTTTTATGTAATCAAATGTACTTAATCAATGCAGTGTAAAAATTCAGATCATCATGATGCAACAAAATCAAATCCTTTCCTATTGCCGTAGCATTGCAGATTCTTGATAAGTACAGCTTTAGAAAAACGTGCAAATTAACCATTAAGAGCTTGCTCATATCTAACTTTCATCTTAATGTTATCTCATGACATTTTTGTTCTTCCTTCTGTATGCTTAGGACAAAAAATCCTCCTGCGTGATGCTTTTGGTGAGAGTGACACTAATCTAGACTGTAGACTTTTAGTAGTGAAGTATCCAGTGCTGCTGCAGCATAGTGCTGACAAGACCTGATCCTCCTTTTTTTTCCTTGCCTATCAGATCCTGGCTAATGTGCATATCTAGAGTTTTGCAGAATGCTGCATTTATCAGGCTGCATTTGAAACTGCCAAAAAATGCATGTTCTGAACATGCATTTCAACATACGTTCTTTTTCAGGCTAAATCTTATTGCCAGTGTCTCCACATTTTGGAAGAATTGTTCCTTGTTAGAGAAAATTAAGACCTCTTTCAATTAAGATGTTTGAAAATACATTGAAAGCCTGATGTGGGGATGCAGCTAGATTGTCTAAAAGATGTATCCATAAACTGCAGTTTTCAACTTTAGTCTTGTAAAGCAGCTTCAGCCTCTTCTCTGCTATGCAGTGCTGCCATTCTTCATGTCTCAGTGTGAACGTGCACAGGAAGATTTGGGGAAACTTAATAAGCTGCACCCTGAAAAACTTCATGTACATTTTTGCACTGAAGTTAAATGTGGTTTGACTAAGTGGTGTTTCTCCTCGTGCTTACCAGCAGTGTGCCTCCTTGTCCTTGTTAGTTCAGCAGTGCGCTTTGATTTTTCCCTCAGACTGTTTTAGGAATGCAGGAAGCAGCTCTGTTGGCCCTGCCTGGCTGGTGGCTGGTGCCTTGGTGTCATTTGTTTAGCATATAGATGTTAATTTGGAAGTGTGGGGAGATTTTTTGTGAAAGCTTAAAACCTGTGTGGTTGGTTAGTGCCCTGAAACAGGGGGAAATGGCAACCGCTATACTGTACTGCTCCTCTTACCTTTTTCTTGACTCTCTGGGATTTCTTTATTTAGTGCACACTCACTGGAGTATGGGCTTCTTTGCAGCCTGCTGTGTTCTCCTTGGGCCTGCTCAGAGAGTGGGGCTCATTTGTGTAATGATGCCATTTGTTAAAATCTTAACAAGTAGAGCTTGCCCCCAGCTATGAATTGTATTGAATTTTGTGTGGTGTGTGTAGTAAATACTGTCTCCTTTGCTGCCCTTGGAACTAGTAGAACATAGGAAAGATATCTCTCCGCAAAAGTCACAGTCCTGACTCATCTTTCTGGCTTTGCAGCAAGTTGTGTAACTACTGCAGGTCATAAAGCTGTAACAGATCCTGAATGCAAAGAAGCTGCTTGAATGCCGGTGACTGAAGAACAGTTCTGATCTCCTGTCTTGTAACTTCTGCTAGTTTGGTTCCTGCATCTTTTACCAGGCACTAACTGAAGGGATCAAATAATTTTTTTTTTTGTTGCCCCCAAAGTAGAATAAACTTTTTCCTTCATACTGGAGAGTCCTTTCCTCTCCCTGCCATTTCACCTTTCTCCCTCCCAGAGGTGTGCTGCAAGGAGGAGGAAAGATCAGAATTAATATTTCTGTTATTTTCAGATGTCATAACTTAGATAACACTGGGGATGCAAATATACTAGATGCATATTTTTGAATGGCAAATAGAAGCATCTCCCTCACACTGTGGACAGCATTTTTTGGCAAGCTGTACTGAATCCTTGTTATCCTGCAACAAAACTGATGGTACATAGAGGCCCCGAGGCTATCAGGTGCTAGCCACGAACCCCATCTTCTGGTGCTCAGTAAGAACTCTCCTGTAGACTTCAGGGCACTGCTGCAAGGCTATTTGGATTCAGTGTTGCTATTATGCCTGTAAATAAGGAGCAGTCATCATTCTAGGTGGAGAAACTGAGCAATTGCAACATGAAGATGCTTGCTTTCTAATTGAGGCTCCTAGATGACACATCAGTGCAACCTTAAACACAGGACCTTGTTCATATAACAACAGAATCTTCATTGTGCACTTGCCTTTACAGGCTGAATTGTATCTTTTCACTACATACATATTGCCTTTATCTGGCTCATCCTGCAGTTTTGGTTCCAAAAATAGACACTGTGTATGAATATGTACACACATGCGCTTTTTAGCTCTGTTACTCCTTTATAGATGACCTCCTTTACAGCAGTGATGAGCATCATGTAAGAATATTACTCATTCCTCTTGATATACATACACATAAAGCCATAAGCAGGGAGAGGTGTGCGAGTCTTACATTCAGTCTCAAAGCATTGGTTGTAAATGTGTCCATGTTAGAAAGACACCTTGATTGCTCAGGATGAGAGGACCTATGAAAAGTATTTGTGGTTGCTTGTGCTTCTGTTTCAATACCTAGAAATTCAGGTCATGCCAAGCATAATTTAGCAGTAACTGCAGAAACAGTGATGTTTTGACATTCAGAGAGGCTACACGAATGCCACTGGCTTGAAATGAATTTAATTGAAGTGGGAAAAGGCATGCACGTCCTAGACATCCCACGCCTTCAGTTGTGCTGGAAAGAATCATACTTGGATCCTCTGGGGAAACACATTGCATGAATGGGGAAGGATCAGGATTAATATTGCTGCTACTTTCAGATGTCAACAGTAAGATGACACAAGGGGGGCAAACATTTTGCAGTGATGCACAGAAGTGCCCACCAGACACACTGTCAGGGTGTAGGGACTGGAGTCACCTGCTGTATCCTGCAGCGTTAAAGCTTGCATTAATAACTCTGTATTTCATAACTATTTATCCTTGACCTGTGTGCAAAAAGAATGAGACACTACTTCACATGAAGCATCTGGCAGAACCATGAATTTTACAAGTAGTCACTCCATGTTAATCAGTGGAGTTGAATAGTTGGTGGAAGCTATTTTGGTGCCCAGTGTTGCGGAGTCTTTTAAAGAGTCAATGGGAGGGTTTTTTGTGGGTGCATCTGAGCTGCCAACATGTTCTGTTGTCAGTGACACAGGGAATTTCTAGAAATTATGAGAAGGAATTCCAAGTCTCTGCCATTATAATTTAGTTAACTCATCATTATTTAGACTAGGAAAATAAGGAACAAAGGTAATTCAGAAGTATAGCTCTTAATTGCTGTCAGTAGCATCTGGAAGATATTTGGTATCTGTAGAACATAACTCCAGATCTTGCAGGGTATTCATTGTGCAGCACTCATCATTTGATAAAGCTCTGGAAACTGCTGTACATAGATAGAGTTTAAACAATACCTGGGGGGCAAGGACAAATTTTTTCAGGGTATGTCCACACTAAGCTTCTTTGGCAGTAGGTGAAATATGTCCTCGCTCTTACATAGTGAGACTCCTGGCAATCCTTAGTGCGGAGTGTCTACACCAGAAAATCATGTTAGCTGATTGCAACTCTGCTAATCGTAGGTACAGATACATGGCGTCATCTTCTCTGTTTGCTGTAGTTGCAGGCTTTAAGATTTGGAAACATGATTACAGTGTAACTGATGTAACGCAAAATTTTCAGGGAGCCTGAGGTTTGAAAACACAGACTCCTTTTCTGGGGATGCTGAGTCAAATGCCAGTGGTACTTTAAAATGTCAGTTTGTGAACTTATCCAGTGCTTATTGAAGTTGTAAGGAAAGGGAGAAATCTCAGGAGTTCTAGCCTTTAAGTATAAGGGCTGTATTTTAGCATGTGCCTTAGAGGAAGCAGATGAGTTGGAGAGAAACCTGTAGATTCCTCTAGATGGGATCGTGTCTGTGGGACTGCAGGACAGGTCTCTATAGAGGTTTTCTAGTGTCTTTTCCAAGTGTTTAGCCTGTTGCCTCTTGCACTTTTCTGTGTGCTTAATCAGTCTTACTGTCCTCTAGCTTATTTTTGTGTGCATGTCTCTAGAGCGCGTGGCTTTGGATCATGCTTCTGGAGGATTTCCTTTCTGCACCTTTGCTGGTGATGACCAGACCTGACCCTCTGGCTCTGGCCTTTCATGCATGTGTAGGCTGTCTCTACTTCTCCACAGCCCCCTCGCCAAAGTTTGTTTGATTTTGCTTGGATTTCCCCTTGTATAAGTTCTGTCTGTCTTTTGGCTGTTAAATTCTCATAGCCTCCTGCCACCCCCTTTTTTTTTTTTTTTGGTCGCAAGTCAGCCCAAAGCACTCCATAGGCTCTGAGATCACGTTTATTTACAAGACTGCTTGCTTCAGGTCAGTGACATAGCACAGCAATGTCGCAGCACCTCTCAGGAAGGCTGCATATGTAGTTGTGCTGTTCAGCCCCACGATCTTTTGCTTTTTCAACACTAATGCAACAAGAAGTACAACAAAGCCAGCTTCCTTTTGTGGTCAGGGAGTGCACCAAACCCTGTATTATTCAGTTGTTGTGACTTTATGCTGTGAAGAGCATGGTTTAAGCTACGCCAGACTTTCTTCCTATTCATCTTTGAATTAGACTAGCTGGTATTCTTGAACAGGGTAGCTGGTATTCTTCAGCAAGGCATACCTGTCCCATCCCTCCTCATTCCCCATGCTTATAGTAGAATTTGGATCTGCTTTAAGGTCATGTTCAAAATGCTGTGGTCCTGCCCAGACCTGTCCTGGAGTTCTCTGCCCAGTGTAATGCTTTTGGTTTTTTTTACAATTCTTTTTAAGGAAAATGCAAAAAGCGAGGAGATGGTTTGAAACTGGAAAATGACCCTCAGGAGGTGAGTCACCTTGAATGCAGATGTCTGCCTCTTAGTGGGAGGCCTCTAGTCCACCTTTGGTCCATGGAGAGTAAGTTCTATATTTGTTTCTGCTTTAAGGCCAGCCTGGCAGGTGGATGAGGGGCAGTGTGATCCCTGATGCTCTTCACTCTTTTGTCTGTGCATTTTATCCTTGTTCATGCCCTCACCACAACTTTTGTGCTGTTTTCCATTCTGTCTTTTGGGAATGACTGTGCCCTAGATGTTTACTTGGTAGCTTTGTACCTGTCTGCACTTCATCAGTGGCAGGAAGTCCTTTTGTAAGGGACTTCTTGAGACCTGAAGAAGTAACTTGATGCCATAAGCACTCAATAGGCTCTCTGACTGCTTCTTAAAACTGGGCTAACAATTACCTTTTAACACCTTTTGAAATATGGAGGAGGAAGGGACAATAGAAGTGCTACCTGGCATGTAAAAGTAAACAGGGTGGCTTCCTCAAGGCTCTTGCATAAATGTGTCTCCTTTGGATCTTCTGCTGTAGAATAAAGTGCTGCATAGGAGACCATACTAACATGTTCCCCAAACCGCATTTGGGCTGCCAGTGTACTTCTGTGGCATCTTTTTCAAAAGATGTATGATTTAATCCTCAGGAAAAATTCAGTTTAAAGGCCCTTGATCCCATGATCTCTGCTGCAGCTCTTAAAGAGCTCCTGTTCATGTGTCAGTGCCCTTTGGGTCTCAGTGCACGGGTAGTGTTCTAGTACTCGCTCAATACCACTTTGTTGAAATTGATGGGAAAGGCAGCACCACTGATATGCAGAGGGCTGAGCACTTGGTTCTGCGGATGGGTCAGGGCAGTGAAGAGTAACCTGTTTCACCAGGGTGCCAGTCCTGCTCAATCTGTGTGGTCAGATTAGGAGAATTTTCTTTAAAAATATTCCCCTATGGGAAAAAGCCTCTATGAGAACAGATATCACAGCCGCTTCTTCCTTTGCAATGTGGGTGCATTTTCCACTCCTGGGAAATGAGTGAGAATTGTTCCATAGGCACCAAATTGTAACAGGAGCCTCGGAGGTTGAGTTGTGACCAGCACTGTACTTTGCAGCATGCAGAGTCCCAGTGATGAGAAACAAATCGGGTACTAATAAATATTTTCAGCCCTGCACAGGAGAGGCTCAGTAGAAACTACATCCTGGCTTTATGCACCAGAAGCGTTAGAAGTACAGTCAATATTTGGATTGGCAAAGAGGTGGAATGGGAGCTGTGTCCTCTGTCCTCCATCCTGTAGCTTATATGGAGTTATCTTGTCAACACAGGATTTGGGAGCACAGGGGAAAGAGGAGGGGGTGGGGTTTAGTATTTGCTGTCAGTCGTGTTTTTTTCAGAGATTGTCAGGTGCTTCACATCCTGCTCCTGTGGGCAGTGGAAGCTGTGAACCACCAGGTATCTTGCTTAAATGATGATCATGTGAAATCCACAGATACTTCTTATAGTGGCTGTCACTTTAGAAAGTTTTTGCCTGTTCAGCATTGTATCAGTTGTGTTCTGTACAAGCCTGAAGTTGAATCAAGTTATTTACTGCTTCTTTTGCCTTTATTTCCTCAGGCAGAGTCAGAAATGGCTCTGGATGCACAGTTCCTAGATGTCTATAAAAACTGCAATGGTGTAGTGATGATGTTTGACATCACCAAACAGTGGTAAGACGTCTTCAGTGGCATGCACCATGTGATTCTCGCTTGTTTAGTGAAAACAAATGGCTTCTAGACCTCTTGATTCCCAGATGGACTCCAGACCTGATAACCAGCCTAATGAGTTGAAGCAAGCCTGTATCCCTTAAAATAATAGCTTTATCTTCTGACATGTGTTAATATACTCCTCTCCTGGGCTTGTTTCAAAGATGCCATATCCCTGCGGGCTTGTGTACTGCAGTTTCTGACCTACTGCTGTGTGAGGCTTGATAATTAGTGCTATCGCAGGTGCAAAGTGCGCTGGACATGTTACAAACTCATGCTCTACAGAGCAAAAAGGAAAGGGGAATGCTAGTGAGAAATTCCCAGGAAGACTGGTATTAGTAAGGATTATTTAGAAGCCCTAGGCTGTATTAATGTACAGAATGAACTGTTCATTTTGCACATCTGCTGAGGAGGGTGAGAGACATATGGAAGCCAGAGTGGAAAGAGGAGGTGGTAAGGGTTCATGCTTTATGTTTAAGTTTGTGGTTCGCAGGTTTGGTATGGGTCAGTGAGCCCATTGACAGCTGAAGAGAGGGAATCCTTTTCTTCTGACCCCACATAGTTTTGTAGGACTGGGGGAAATATCGCTGTAGGAGATGTGAGATTGCTGGTGGAAGTGGATTGTTGAACTAGTCAAGTTGTTTTTGAATAAAGAATGATACAAACATATTTACAGTTACTATATTTCTCTGAGGAGGGCAAAGAAGCCACAGTCTTGGAAGGATTTCGGAAAAATTTTTTTTTTTTTCTGTGATTTGTGCATGAAACTGCTCACAGGATGATGTTTCCCACTCATCTGCCTGTATATCTCTCTCCTATGGTGAAGGACATTTAACTATATTCTGAGGGAGCTTCCTAAAGTGCCGACCCACGTTCCAGTGTGCGTGCTTGGGAATTACCGAGACATGGGGGAGCACCGGGTCATTCTGCCTGGCGATGTGCGGGACCTCATCGACAATCTAAACAGGTAGGATGGCACCACGGTCACCAGACAGGGGAGCAGACCTCGGCTAGTCGCTGTCATCAGCCGTAGACAACTGTATTGCTGCCATGTTTAAGATGTACATCGTATTCATCCTCACACCCTGTGCCTAGCTTTTGGGCTTTCATAGCTCTGAGTGTCTCATACAGCAGCTTCAGTTTACACGATGGGCTCTTTTTCCTTTGATCTAGGAGCCTGTACTGGGCAGATTGTTAGCTATGTTCCTGGGAACAGTGAGAACCTGCCAGCATGTGCCTTTCAGAAGGACTTTTCCGAAGAAGTCATCTTCTTTCTGGATAGTCCTTCTCTTGTGAAAGAATCCTCTCCCTGCAGTACAACTGTTCTCTACTCCAAATAATTCTGCTACAAGAGAGCCAGCTAGTGCAGCTGTCTTCCTTGCTCTTTCTCTGAGAGCATCCCCACACAACATTTACTGGGCACAGCCAAGTCATTACTGGCCACCCTTGCCAGCCAGACAAGATTTTCCCTTATGCAGAGATCTGAGGCTCTCTGTTATTTAGTATAAAATATTGTTTTGGATTCGATAGATTGTACCTTTTTGTGTGGTTTTATGTTTTTAAGGCATTTTTTCATTTTCCTAGTCTCTTATTTGTTTGTGCCTGTGTCAAGCACACAGAAATGGTATCAGTTTTAAGGCTTGATTCCCTAACATAATAATTTCTTTACAAGTTAATCTCTAATGTGACTTAGCTGAGTTTAATGCCCACTGCTGATGCTTGTGACTTAATGTAGGTCTGTTTGTGGTTTTAAAACAAAACTTTCACTGAGAAATGAACAGCTTGTACAGCTGTGAAACCCACAGTTTAGTAAACCAATGGCCCAGTGTCCTGACATAGTATTTCCTAGTCTGGCAGCCCCATGACGCTGCAACACAACAGCAGCCATATTCTGCCACCCTTCAGGAGGAGCAAAGTGTGAATTTTGTCTGTGAACAAAATAACGAGTCCCTAGCAGAATGACCTGCTAGCCTACATTTGGGGATTGAAGGGTTGGCTTGTAAACGAGGATTGTTCATGGCATGTAGTTCAGCAAGTGCCTCTTCTGTGTGTATGCAGTCCTTGTCCTTTGTACAGTTTCTTCTCTCTACCTATCTGGTTGAGACAGGCCTCCCGGCTCCTCATATTTTCGCTATGCTGAGTCTTCAATGAAGAACAGCTTTGGCCTCAAGTACCTGCACAAGTTCTTCAACATCCCATTCTTGCAGCTGCAGGTAAGGCAGAGGGTAATTCCCTGACGTGTTGGGCAGGTGGGACAGATTCCATTTTCTCTGTCGCTAAGGCGGGAATTTGGTATTTGGGGTTTCTTTTGTTGTTAACGGATCCTGAGTAGATTTCTGTTTTCATAAGAGTTGTTAACAGAATTGTGTTAGTACATTGGTGCCCATGCCTTAAACATGACTCTGCTTGCAAGAGGACTCTTCTCTCTGGTGTGTTTGCAAATGCTTACCCCTGGAGAAAGGCTCCAAGGTGATGAATAATGCTGGCAAGAAAATTGCATCCAGTGGTGTAGTTACTAAGTCAAAAATGGTATGTATGCACATTTAGAATCATAGAATCATTTAGGTTGGAAAAGACCTTTAAGATCATCCAGTCCAACCATTACCCTAACATTACCAAGTCCACACTAAACCAATTAAGGGTAGACTAGACTAAACCATGTCCCAAAGTGCCACATCTACCCGTTTTTTGAACACTTCCAGGGATGGTGACTGCACCACCTCTCTGGGCAGCCTGTTCCAATGCTTGACTACCCTTTCTGTGAAGAAATTTTTCCTAATATCCAACCTAAACCTCCCCTGGCGCAGCTTGAGCCCGTTTCCTCTTGTCCTATTGCTAACTACATGGGAGAAGAGACCAACACCCACCTCACTACAACCTCCTTTCAGGGAGTTGTAGAGAGCGATAAGGTCTCCCCTCAGCCTCCTCTGCTCCAGGCTAAACAACCCCAGTTCCCTCAGCCGCTCCTCATAAGGCCTGTGCTCCAGACCCTTCACCAGCTTTGTTGCCTTTCTCTGAACCCGCTCCACCACCTCAATGTCTTTCTTGTATTGAGGGGCCCAAAACTGGACACAGGATTCCAGGTGCGGCCTCACCAGCGCCGAGTACAGGGGGACAATCACCTCCCTGCTCCTGCTGGCCAGGATACAAGCCAGGATGCTGTTGGCCTTCTTGGCCGCCTGGGCATGCTGCTGGCTCATGTTCAGCCAGCTGTTGACCAACACCCCCA